ATGTCGACGACGCCTTGTCCGAAAGATCGAGCTCGGGAAGCTGCCGAAATCATACCAGGGTCGAAAAGAAACTCAAGACTACCAGCTATTCTCCATCCCAGAAGCTCTTCGGTCGAGACCTTCGTCTGCCTTGTGACCGCCTGTTTGATCGCCCTACGGATGCGCCTTCATCGCCTGAGGAACACATCCAAGATGTCCCAGGCCCGTTTTGAGGGGATGCACCGTTCTGCACGAAAGCGAGTCAACTTGGGCGACGGAGAAAATGAAGACCAGATGCGACACAAGAGCTACTAGACAGAGATCCAACAAAGGAGACAAGGTGTGGTTGTGGAACCCAATTCAACGAAAAGGACTGAGTCCTAAATTACAGTCACCTTCGGATGATGGTCCCATACAGTGCTGAACACGAATGACGTCGTGGTTCGGATCCGTGAGTCTTCGAACTCTGAACTCTTACGACAGGTTAGCTTAGCTCACTACTATGGCCATAGTACGTAATGTAAATAATTGTAAATAGTATCAGACCATGGTCCTTTTTGTTTTTAAATGTGTATTTGATTTGATTTGCATTTAGTATTTGTTTATTTAGTATTTGATTTGTATTTGATAGCATTTGATTTGTTTTATTTATTGCATTTATTGTTCATGTTGTTATTATGTAATGTAATGTAATGCTTATTAATGCATTTATGCCACAGTTGTAAGTTTAGCTTCCTGTCCAGGGATTGTACTGCCCGGGACGTGCAGTCCTTGGGAAGGGGGCAGTGTTACGAATTTGGTATTTAAAAAGCTAATGTTAGTTCAATTATAAATTAAATGGTTTTATTTCTCGCGCAGTGCAGCGCGTGACGAATATTAAAAGAAAGCTAAGCCGGAAAAATTAAAAATACAAGAGCGCGTGCATTAAATAAATACCATTTTAGGCCACGAACTAAACCTCCCATTTTAAAACTAAATATAAAAATTTTGCGCGAAGTAAGCCTCAATGGTAGGATTATTGATATTTTAGCAATATGATTTGCTATAATTATCAATCAATGGATGATAATTTATTAAGTTAGATACATATTTTATACAACAATGGATTTATACATAAAGTAGCACAACACAGAATTAACCTATTAGTGGGCTATTGTTATGTGAAACAATCATTGTTAATTACCACTACCGTATATACGGTATCTATCGTAACATATGGACATGAAATAAATCGTAACATTTCTATAGCTAACAGTTTCTACAAACCGTGATTAATAGTAATCGTCTTTATTCACTAATGTTTTCATCACTGGAATCCTCGCAGCTCTCTTCGTCAGAAGCAGATTCATTTCTTCTTTTGTCATCGTCATCATCGTCATCCTCGACGTTCCAGAGCACGTCATCTTCACTGCCATTCAATGAATTTGAAATTCTTGAAAGATTTCGCAATCATTGGATCTTCGATGCTTTTCCAAGCAGCAGAAACCCAGTGTGCAACAATGTGCGGTGCAGTACGCTTAATTTTTCCTATCGGGGTCAATTCACGGTTTGGCTCACAAAACCATTTTTCATACTCCGCCTGAACGTAACTCTTAAAAGGTTTATTTATACTAACGTCAAGTGGTTGTAACACAGACGTCATCCCTCCAGGAATGATTACAAGATCACTGCCTAGGCTGCGCGTGTTCTTTTTTACGTCGTCGGTGAGATAACCACGAAATGCGTCCAGACAAAGCATTGATGGTAGATTGAAGAGCCCACCGGGACGGCGTTCCCATACATTTCGGAGCCAATCAAGCATTAATGATTCCGTCATCCACCACTTCTCTTGGTTTCGAATCAGGAAATCATCTGGGAACAGCTTTTCATTCTTAGGGGTTTTAAGGCTTGTTTTCCGTTTGAAGATTAAGAAAGGGGGAAGTTTGCACCCGTCTGCTGTTATTGCCAGCATCACTGTTAATGCGTAGTTTTTCACATCCCGAAGTTTTAATGATAACTTCCTTAGTCCCCTTCCTCCGTAATGGTTGTAGTTATGAGGCATATCAAACCAAATTGGCGTCTCGTCCAGCGTTGCCAATTTGCCCCACTTTAAAAATTCTTTTTCTTTCGAAGTGTGATGACATACCGCTGAAATGTAAGTAGTTTTCCCTCAAAATCTGCAGGAAGCTTTTGGCATAGTTGTTCTACGGCGTCTTAGAGATAAGCCCATCCGATTCATAAACCGATCCAGCCATCCACCGGCTAGCCTTAAACTCTTGTTTCGGTATTCCAAGAACTTCAGCCTCCTCTTTGCTTTATTTCTTATGGTGTCACCAGTCACAGGTTGTTCATTTTCTTCCTTTCACGTACAAATTCCAAAACTTTTTCTTCAATTTTAGGGTTGTCTTCCTTTGCGAGAGCCAGTGAATTTCTTTCTACTAGCTTTTAGTTGCGCAAACAGTGCCAATTTCTGTTGCCGCCACAAGCGAACACTGCTCTCAGCTACGTTGAACTCTCCCTGCCTTTCTATTGCCATTTTTTCAGCATAAAGAATTACTTTACGTTTGAAAGTAGCGTCATATGACATTCTCCTCTGTTTGCCCTCCCTTTCGTGACTATGTACTCTGCAGTTTGTATCCTCTATGCAATAATGGGTGTCAACGAATAAATGTAACGGTAAATGTAGTCGAGAAATCTAGTCGACAAATACGTAATTCATTGTTACGATCTAAGTTTGGTTGATGTCCATCGGCGAAACTTTGCACTCAAATCTAATGCGCACCCCAATTTTGAATATTACATTTGGCCAAAAACGATGCGCATTACATTCGCGTAAATATGGTATCTCTTTTTGATTTCGAGAAAGTACTGGAAAATTCTAGCGCGTGATTTTAAAATCTTATAAAAAGAGGAAAACATCTTAGTTCATAGTTGCTGCTTAGTTTGTTGTTGTTTAGAAAACTGCTCTTGTTGATTGTAGCGAATTCGCGGATTAGCGTTCTTTAGCTGTTTTGAATTACGTTCTATGGACATTTGAGTAGTTACAAGATAACTACTGTGAGATATTGTAATACTGCATGATAATTTGAGAAAATTTAAGCATTTTTGTTGTGATAATAATAAATTTTTGTTCATTTTTTATCGGACTTGTGCATTCATTTCATAACGAACCCGTACGCACGCAACAATATGAAAGAAGTAATTAGTAAGCCTTCATAAAAACATCTACCATAATAAGTCTATGGCAACATTTGGAATTTCCATGTTACAGACTGGGAGATTAAATGGCTAATGTGCAGAATCGCCCACTTATTTGTTTGGTGCTTTTTACAAGAGTAAGAAGATTTGGATTTTTGTCAATTTTCTTTGACTTTTAAAGTGAGAATAGGTCGATGTGTACACGGATGAAGTCAAGGGAGTGCGCAATGCCATTTTTCTGCAATTCTGGGATGTTCTTTTGGTTAATCTTTGGATTATGGTAACTTGGCGATTTTTTGTCGAAAATTTGGCAACCAACCCTGCTACAGCAACCTGTTAGTTTTTGTTTGGATGCCATTTTGTTTTCACGAAGTAAAGGGCATTTTTTTTTTTTTTTTTTACTTAACATTTTTTTCCAACGATCTGCTAGCCGAATTACGCTTATGCTAGAACTTTTATGGAACAAAAGTGCTTGATCATGATGAAGATTAGGTGCGAAATTGGGAGAAAGTGCAGAATCGCAAACTGCTTGCCGCGTTCTTAAGAATTGTACATACACGGTATCCATGTACACGCCGACCTGTTTTCACTTAAAAAAACATCCCAGAATTGCACAAAAACGGCATTGCGCACACTCTTGACAATATCCATATACACTGCTAAAGTCCTAGCTAGTAACCTTTATCGCCTTACCAAAATGTCGCCAAACTACCTGTTACCATATTATAAAGATTAGCCGTGCAATTCTTAAAAACGTGCATAGCAGTGAGCGATTCTGCACTTTGCTCGATTAAATTTGCCAATTTTTGTAACTACGCACGTTGGCTGATTTAACAGGATGTTTGGTTTCATGTAATGAAAAATTAGAATACAAATGTAAATCATAAAATGTATTTTTACGTTTAATCCTAGTATCCGGTGCACACGGGATTTGCCTTATTTTGGCGCCTTTATGATGAGCAGTAAAAACGGGGGCCAATCTTTGGAATATGGTAACAGGTAGTTTGGCGACATTTTGGTAAAGTGATAAAGGTTACTAGCTAGGACTTTAGCAGTGTACATGGACAAAGTCAAGAGTGTGCGCAATGCCATTTTTGTGCAATTCTGGGATGTTTTTTTAAGTGAAAATAGGTCAACGTGTACATGGATACCGTGTATGTGCAATTCTTAAAAACACGACGGTTAATTTTTGGATTATGGTAACTTGGCGATTTTTTGGTGACCAACCCTGCTACAGCAACCTGCTAGTTTTTGTTTGGACGCCATTTTATTTTCACAAAGTAAAGGCATTTTTTTTTGGTGCTACTTTGGTAGACGGTTGCACGGATTTTTGGCGATTTACGTTGGCCGAATTGTTGGCGCGATTTTTACAAACGTCAGCCATCTTGAAAAACGCTTGTTTTACGCATAGTAAAGTATTTTCGAAACTTAAAAATAATAAATAAATATCGTTTAAAGTAATGGATTAATTTTTTGTTGAAAATGTCATTTTTTAAGATGGCAGGCAAGTGTAAATAAATATATTTACTATGAGTATAAAATACTAAAGTAAGGTTATTATTACTTTCATATAGCAAAGAAGAGATAAAAAACACCTCCCGCTATAAAAACTTGGGCCAACGTTTAATTAGATTAAAATATTACTGAAATTGAATATCGAATTAAAAACCATCATACCAACATTTAAAAGAATTAGAATATTATTAAATTCAAATACTTTAAAATACATTATATAGAATATAATTAACATTAAAAAATATGGACAATAATTATCTCAGCAATTTATGAAAATAGTGTATTAAATTTTTTAACAAAAATTGAAGTATACAATTATAAAATAAAAGAAAAATATGTACTTACATTTTTTTGAGTGTTTAACCTGTTGTTTATTGATAAGTACTACAATAAAAAATCAGAATCATAATTTAGATAACATCTTTGAAGGAATTCGAAGATATAAATTAAATTTTAAAATGGCGTGGAAATGCACAAATTGTCAGTAACCAATCAGGAAGCTGATTACAGCTCGTTAATGCACAAATATTCTATAATAACCAATCAGAGAGCTTATTATGTCACGGCTAGAATTAAAATTATTTAAAAATTCATATATAATGTAATCATTTTTAAAAAAATGCAAAATTAAATTGTATTTTAATATTTAAGAGCCATAAATAATGTTTAAACATTAGATAAATTTATACATATTAAAACGAATTACTTTTAAAGTAAGGTGACGTCATTGATTACATCATCCACAACATAAAATTCAAAGATATGATAAAACAATAAAATTTTTATTTCAAATAAAAATGCAAAAATTAAATTGATTTTTAATATTTAAAAGCCATAAATAATATTTTAAACACGGAATTTATGCACAATAAAACGCACTATTTTTTAAATAAAATGACAACAAAGTATCGGTTACCATAATTAACTTATCCAGCAATGGGTTTACCATAAGTTGTATTACTCGCCAAAGGAAAATCGCCAAAATCCGTGCAACCGTCTACCAAAGTAGCACCTTTTTTTTTTTTAACTCAACATTTTTTTCCAACAATCTGCTAGCCGAATTACGCTTATGCTAGAACTTTTGTGGAACAAAAGTGCTTAATCATGATGAAGATTAGTTGCGAAATTGGGACAAAGTGCAGATTCGCCCACTGCTTGCCACGTTTTTAAGAATTGCACATACACGGTATCCATGTACACATCGACGTATTTTCACTTAAAAAATCATCCCAGAATTGCACAAAAATGGCATTGCGCACACTCTTGACTTTATCCATGTACACTGCTAAAATCCTAGCTAGTAACCTTTATCGCCTTACCAAAATGTCGCCAAACTACCTGTTACCATATTCCAAAGATTAGCCAACGTGGCAAGCAGTTTGCTATTCTGCACTTTCTCCCAATTTCGCACCTAATCTTCGTCATGATTAAGCACTTTTGTTCCATAAAAGTTCTAGCATAAGCGTAATTCGGCTAGCAGATTGTTGGAAAAAATGTTGAGTTAAAAAAAAAAAAAAAAAAAAAGCCTTTACTTCGTGAAAACAAAATGGCGTCCAAACAAAAACTAGAAGGTTGCTGTAGCAGGGTTGGTCGCCAAATTTTTGCCAAAAATTGCCAAGTTACCATAATCCAAAGATTAACCAAAACGGAACATATAACAATGAGTAGTAAATGGGTCATTCAAATATAATATGTGTAGTTATACATAGTATATACTTAGTATATAGTGTATAGTATATACATAGACGTTCTTTGGGTCATTTTTGGTGTTGGCGATAAGTTTCAAAATCGCGCCAAGGCTGCACCGTATACTAGGATTTTACCTATTTTTATAAACATAAGAATAGAAAATATTATAAGAAATGCATATTTTATCTAGATATTGCATTACATCAATGCATAGTATTTATCCACATTTTTATTGCAATATTTTACAAAAATTAAATTTGTATGTGCTATTCGAAGGGTTTCTTAAGTATATTTTCCTGAAATACTTCCATCGTGAGCACATTTTGATGAATAATAGCTACTGAAGCATAAAAGGTATTTTGATAGGTATAACAACAAAAAAGCATAAAACATAAATGAAACGAAACAAAAAATAGACTATTTCCATAAATATTGTTAATAAATTTTTAATCAAATAAAAATATTATGTTTTTTTCAATAATATAATGTTAATTAAATAAAAATATTCCTATTATCATTTCAATACAATTTCTAAATATCAGTGTTGAGAAAAATGTTACTTTTGTTTTCTTAGCAAACATAAAAAAAGGTACAATTTGAAAAATCATCTTAAATATAATAAATAAATAACGCAGTTTTAATCTCCAATAAATATATCAAATATATATAGCGTGACTTCTAAACAATAAATAGACGAAATATGTTTGACATATTTATTCTGATATATGTATTTATTACCAACATAATTACAGTTAATATGCATAAATTTTAAGTTTCTGATTACTGAATAAGCTATTAATTTTTATCAATAAGTAATTTCATACAGAATAAATATGGAAAATACATACTTTCAGATTGGCCCTTTATTCATGATTTAAGTCACTAGTTTAGGCCCCATGTAAACACTTCATACTTCGCGAATTTCCTATACAGAAGAAAAACAGAAATGTATTATTTCCACCTGTATAATACAATAGAATGCTTGAATTCAGTCATATAAGATATAACATACCTTTTTTGGATCAATCAGTGCGGAAATCAAATTTGCTGTAATATCAGCTTCGTAAACAACATTTAAATGTCCCAAGCGTCATTTGAAGTTACTTTACAAAATAATGCTTATATTAATTGCTTTACGATGAAATATAAATTATGGGCACTCAATAACATTTATTATAAACATTACGCATTATGACAAATATTGGCAAACAAATAAAAACCTGTTTTCAAAGTTAGATTCAAATAAAACCATCTGGGCACCTCTTACATCAAACAGTAATCCACCAAATTTTATAAATTCATATCACTCAAAATGCACTGAAAACAAAAATTTGAGGAACAGTAAGTGCTTTCATCCAGCGTTTAAGGTGAAAACTTATATTCAAATTGTATATGAAGTGATACATAATACTTTATTAAAATCCAACTTAGTAAGCCTGTCCCCTAACAATCTTAGTTCAAGGAACCCGATTGGCAACGGCTGTTCAGACCCATATTAAATGCCAGATTTTGTCCAATTAATATAAATCGACTACGTGGACTTCGTGAAATTTTAAAACAAATAACATTTAGGCTCATATAATTTTTTGACTGTCGTATTCACAGATTATTGTCTATAGATTGCATTATTGGAATTTTCTTATACCGAATTAAATGTATTTATCTGACAGAGTAGGATTATTTGTTGAGTTTATGCAGTAGAATGATAACGTTACTCAATTGTGAGAAAATGGGTTTTAATATCCAAAAATGGATACGAAAAGACATAATTTAAATTGAAAACCTTTGAAAATAACGTTAATTTCTGCGGTATTAGGAGGGTGGAAATGTAATTGTGAAATAAAACATTTGAAATACATGAAAACACTAAAAATGTTCCAGTTTCCCGTTGTTTTAGACTTACTAAAATATTTATCTTTATATGTGTGCAAAGTTCTTAATTTTTTATGTAGAAAACTGTATATACTATGCATGTAAATAACTCTAATAAAACTGGTGTAACATTTACAGCAAGTCAAAAGACATATTTCCCATAATTTCAACTTCAGGATATCTCATTAAGTGATGTGTACTCATCGATGTGTACATGGAAGAAGTCAAAGGGGTGCGCAATGCCTAATTTGTGCAATTCTCTGGTGTTTTGTTAAGTGAAAATATGTCGATATGTACATGGATACCAAGTTTGTTGTCCCAGTTTCTGTTTGTATGTGTCGAGTTTTGTCTTAAAAACTAACCGAGCAGTGGGTAATTCTGCACTTTTTCCCGTAAAGGCCCGTTTATTCATCGACCTAGACACTTTTAAAGATTGCGAGGTGATTTCCGCCGCCTAGGATGTCATTTTCTCTTAAAATATTCTTTTAAAATTGGTATTAGAGCTGCCTCTGCATTTCTAATTACTGGCTTTGATCTTATTTGTATACAGCACCACTTTGAAAGCACCACTTTCTTTCAACGCTTACTTTGCTTAAAGCAACTTTAAGTCATAAACAATGAAAAATTAAAAAATATATTTAACTCGTGCCTCTCTCTGCTACATTTTAGAACACATATACTCTCTCATCATGAAAGGCTAAAAGGCTAATTTAAAGTGCAAAAACAAAATGCAATGTGACCGTAATTATTAATAAATTTTATAACAATATATTGTTCTGTTTTTCTAGTTACAGAAATGATAATCCAAAAAGCAGCTCTGTATAAAGGAAGCATCTTAAAACGTTTACCTTTATTTACTCAGCGGTTCCGTTTTCCTGAAAAGTGGAAAGGTGGAAGATTAGAAAAGTGGAGTAAGAATGTTTATTATGAATCGAGTAGCTGTCTATTCCCCAACTTTTATTAATCAGCTATATTTATTGCGATTGCTAGGTTGTTGGCATTAATAATATATACATATAATAAAAATTTGTTGCATATTTATAAATATGTATTGGTTTGAATAACGATAATACGCTGCTGTAAATATCCGATTAGCATTTGTATAATTGTTCTATTACTGGCTTCAGAGCTTAAATTCCGCCGGAGCGCGACTGCGGTACTTCTTAGTTTTTGGGACATATTCCAATTATAGCCGGAGCGCACCGGAGTCCTAAGTTAGAAGGCCCGGCACTTTTTTATGTAACTGAACAATTATTTCAGTAGAAATTTGATCTAGAAAATTTTACTTTTAGCAATAAAATTATATCAAAAATCGCTTATTAAATTTTTATTTATCTCTTTACATTTTATTTAATTTTAATAGTCTTAATTATTTTAATAAATAATAAATTAAGTATACATTAATTAAGTAATAAATATAAACTAAATAATAATTAATAAATATAGATTTTGAATACCAATTCAGTAATTATTAATTAATTTGATACTCATTAACTATTTAATTTTTTAATTATTAATTATTTTAATAGTCATTTTATTTTTTTATTTATTTATTCTTGTTACTCTTTCCTGACAGTCTTCCATAGGGCTCCGGCACTTCTACTTTTAGAAATTAAGCCCTGACTGACTGCCTTAAAATTTGGTAATTATCACATAAATTGTATGGAGAATTTGCATAATGCCTCGTAAATAATGATTAGGTTGTACAAAAAACACAATTTTTTATTGTTAATATAGTTTTCGTAATAGTTATTGATCTTTATTATTAACAGTTATGAGATTAGTTACTGTTTCCATCAATAGAGCCATAAAGATTTTTATTGTATGTTCTTTCTCAGTTGGTATGAGACAGTGTGTTGGCAAACAAGGGGCATATTCAAATATTTGTTAAAGTATCCACAGATTCAGATATTTGAATCAGTGGATGAAGTGGTGATGAATAGGTGCTCTTAAATATCCTTGTGTTAGTGGCTTTTTTTGTATCATCTGTTGGCTGAAAATCACAGCAACTTAGAAATTTTTTCGTTATTTTCTATCTGTGTTCTTTTGCCATGTTCATCAATGCCAATAACATTTCTACTTTTTGGAAACTTTCAAATAGGATGCAGTGTTATTACCAAAAACCTATTATTTCAAATTTTGTAAGTTTCATCCGATGTTTTGCCCAAACATATGCAGGGGTTAATGTTGAATACTGCTCAACAAACAATATTTTTCGGTAAAAGTATAGTTTAGGGTACCCCTTGGTGAAACTTGGCGATTTTTGGCGGTACATGGATACTGATTTTGTGCAATTCTTTGACTCTTTATTTTGGCTTGCGAAGCGGTGATTTTTGCACCAAAAATCGCCACTACACAAAGCCAAAATAACGAGACAAACAATTGCACAAACTCGGTATCCATGTACACATCGACTTATTTTCACTTTTAAAAAAATAGCCGAATTGTACAAAAATGGCATTGTGTACTCCTTTGACTTTATACATGTACACGTCGACCTATTTTCACTTAAAAAAAATCCCCGTATTGCACAAAAATGGCATTGCACACTCTTTTAACTTTATCCATGTACACGTCAACCTATTTTCACTTAAAAAAAAAATCCCAGAATTGTACAAACTTGCATTGCGCACTCCCTTTACTTTGTCCATGTACACATTGATATATTTACACTTAAAGAGTCAATGGAGCACCAAATTCTATAATATAGGCAAACAAAAAATACATAATCATCTCGATAAAATACATTTTAAACCAAACAATACAATAACATAAAAAAGGAAAAACATGTTATACGTTTAAGCACTACCAAAAGCAAATATTCACTTACCATGATTTTTGAGTTGCTTCGTACACTCAGAGCCACGTAAAAATCAATATATCAATCATACTGAAATGACTTTTTTCAAACCAGGTACTCTTTCTGATCGAAAGCTTCACATAGTGACCATTTGAACCTTTCTTCCTACAAATCCATCTAAACGGTTTTAACGTTCGACTAGACCAGTGTTTCGTAACCTTTTTGGCACAATGAACCACTTTAAAAATTTTAAATATGTCACGGATCCTTCTGTGAAAAGAAAATTGCTTAAACATCATTATTACAAAATATATTCTGTTTTATTATTTAATTATTTTTATATTTTTATTTCAATAGTATAAAAAATTTGAAGAAATTAAAATTTTTAAATGTGGAAGGCTGTTGCTGCTTTCCTTGATTAACAGGTTGAATTTAGGGATGGTTTTCCGACAAAGCAACGCGCATATCAAGTTCGACATTCAGTCTATTTCAATGTTTTGTTTTTATTGTGACAAGTGTCGAAAATCCCGCTTCGCAAAGATATACTATGTAGCAAACGGAAATAATGGCTGCCATAGCTCGTTTTACAGGCAATGGGTAGGCTTCTCTTAAAGAAGACCAAAACTCTCCAAGAGTTTTTGAATCGAAATCCATTTTTAACAAGGACTTTATTTTCAAATCAATTAGCACATCTTTGGCAAGGTTCATGTCATTGATACAGTCAATATCACAAAGAAAAGGATTACGAATCCACAACTCATCTTTTATATTTATTCCATCCGAATTGAAATATTTTTCAAATGAAACTTGAAGTACTTTCAGGTGTTCACAGATTTCATTTTTCAAGTTATTCAATAACAAACTATCTTTCCGAGATCCATTTTCAAAAAGCACTTCGTCCAACATTTGAAAGTTTGCATATATCCCATTTTTAATTCTAATTTCCAAAATGACATTTTCAATAAAAATGCCTGTAGTTTCTCAGTGGCATCCATAATTGTTGTATCAGGCCCTTGAATTGAAAGACATATCATTCATGTGGTTAAAAATGTCTGCAGGTAAGCCAATTTACATATAAAATCTTTTTTTCTTGAAATATTCGAAGAGTGAGTTATCTTTTTTCTTCTAAAAAAAGTGATGACTTCTGTCTTCAACATGAAAATTCGTTTCAAAACCTGCCCTCGTGACAGCCAGCGCACTTCCGTGTGATACAGAAGTACCTCATGTTCTGCATTCATTTCTTGACACAGTGTTTTAGAAAAGACGATGATTAAGAGCTCTACTTCTAATAAAATATCACAGTTTTAATAACTATGTTGACAATACTTCTTTTTAAGCTGGTTGGAAGAGTTTTTGTAGCCAGTGCATGTCTATGTAAAAAACAATGTGTAACAATAACATTAGGAGCCTCTTTTTTTATAACCAATGGGCAAAACCAGATTTATTGCCAATCATCGCAGGTGCTCCATCCGTACAAAGTGAATGAAGTTTTTATGTTTCTAGTTGAAGTCGTGTTTGGAAAAGAAAACATTTAAAATCGCTAAAACATCAACTGACTTTGTAGTTTGCAAAAGAAACTCACAAAATAAGAATTATTCTTTGGATAGTATCAGCAGACACGTAACGCAACAAAAACAAGAATTTGACTACAATTCGAGATGTCTGTAGTTTCATCCAGTTGCATACTAAAGGGAAATGGCGATGCTTTCAATTCATCCGATGATCTGTTTCAAGATATTGCAAGAAATTTCAACTATTCTTGAAATGTATCACATCCTTGGACAATGGAATAGCCTCAAGTTTTT